GGGGCGCGGGGCGCCTGGTTGTTTGCGAGGGATGGAGAGCAGGGCGGTGGGAGGACATTGCTGCTCACTTAAACCCAGCTGGTCCCCTCCAGCCCCCGTGGGGGCAGGGAGGTGGAAAGCCCATTAAAAAAAACCTGCCGAGCCTGCCGGCACATTCCTTTGGCCCCCAAGTCCTGGGTAAGTGGCCCTAATTATTAAAATCAGAAGTCCTTATCAGATGACAAGGCCTTTTGCTTTGATATACAAAGGCAGAAGCTTAACAGCCCCATCTTTCCCTGGAAGAGGAACAAAATGTGCACCTTAATGTGGGGCTTTCAAACCTCCTAAAAAAAACCTGCCGAGCCTGCCGGCACATTCCTTTGGCCCCCAAGTCCTGGGTAAGTGGCCCTAATTATTAAAATCAGAAGTCCTTATCAGATGACAAGGCCTTTTGCTTTGATATACAAAGGCAGAAGCTTAACAGCCCCATCTTTCCCTGGAAGAGGAACAAAATGTGCACCTTAATGTGGGGCTTTCAAACCTCCCTGCATAATCCCCTTATCGCCTGCTGAAGATACTGTGTGTTGATCCCGGCTGGGAAGTTGGAGTAATGGGAGGTAGCAGGCAGGGGGACGCCCAGGTCCCCCCCGTGCGGTGACCCTGCCGTGGTGACCCCACCACACTCGTCACAGCACACGTCACTGCCCACAAATTTTTCACATGACTGCTCTTGGGTCAGTCAAACATCCAAGCTCAACTCAAACATCCAAGCTGGGCTTTGGGTTTGCTTCTCCAAGCGAAGCCAAAGGTGTTGGTATCGGTAACCCACGTGCCCATTAATACAACCTGCTGCTCCTGTCGTCATGTCCCTCATCCTCTCTTCCCCACCCAGCTCTACGCACAAAACCACAAGTTGAACAAGTTGTAGGTTCTCCTAAAAACTGGGCCTTTTTATTGCATGTTTTTATAATGCCAGGAAGGTGGCACCCATCATTGGGAGGCCAAGCCTGAGACAGCAGATTTCAGCCCTGTCCATGCCCCCTCTGACGCATGGTGGTCCTACTCCAGTAGTTTCAGACAGTTCTCTTGTTTCAGGCAACACAGATACCGTAACTTGTACTCCCCAAGGGACCCTAACTCTTGTCTTCAGAGTAGACTTAAGCATTTATTAGCTGGTGCCTCAATGGCTTTCACTGGGACTTGAGCGATGAACTTCTTGATCTTTTGCCTGCTGATGCCAACAGCAAAACTCCTGCAGACCACAGCAGCGCAGCATCAAGCTTTAAGGACCAAGTTTTTGAAGGCATCAAAGTAGGTAGAGGTGTTTCCTGGGATTTTCTAAAGCATGCTTCCAATGCCAAAAGCAACATCTTTAAAGTTGGACTTGGGTGTGTTTAGACAGAGCGTGTCCTCGTTGCTGCTGGCCTGAGCACTGGATGGTTAGTTGCTTCTGAAGAGGTTGAGCAGTCAGTGTGCATGGTTCCCATAAGGAGAGTGCTACCGTGAAACTTCTGAGCTTTCCTCTAGCCCAAGACTGGCTGGTAACTAGATTCCTGTTTTGCTTGTCCCTAGGTCCTTCAAGAGGAACGATCCCGTTAACCCATACCATGTGAATTCTGGCTATGTTTTTGCCCCAGCAACCAGCGCGAACGATAGTGAAATATCTAGTGATGCCCTGACGGACGACTCCATGTCAATGACGGACAGCAGCGTGTAAGTATCTTGTGTTGGCCGGGTCCTTTTGGGATGCGTCATCTGTGAATCAGCTGCGCCGATGCACCATGGGGGCTTACGGGAGCGGTGGGTGCAGGGTCATCACCCTGCTTCTGCTCGCCGTTGACTAGGGGCTGCTGAAACTGAGGTGCGCGCCCAAACCGAGAGGTGTAGCAGGGCATGGTAGCCTCGCTCTTCGTGCAGTCGCCGGAGGTATCAGATGGAGTAAAATAATGCATCCCTCTATTGCCATTTTGCAACTGCAGCTGAGCAAACATGTTTTCCCCTATGCTAATGGTGCTGCCTGACTAACCCAAGGAGCGTATCTCCCTGAGCCTTTGTCTTAAGGCCAGGCTTCCTTAACTAGTTATCAGTCATCAAAGAGGAGGAGATTACTTCCTGTAGGAAGTACTTTCTGTAATTAAGGTTTGTCATTACTGTCAGAATGTACATTAATAGGGCCAGTGACCTGAAGGGGCAAATAGCTGCTCATCTAGTGTGGCTGGGGCAGTCTTCAAAGAGCCATTTGAATGGAGCTGCATGGATCAGGTCTGGGTGTTTCAGGAGCATAGGGATGAGAGATGATGCTGTGGCTGAGCCCAGGAATTGCAGGATCTGTCTTTTCCTCCTGACTCTGCTGAGACGTGTGCAACTGGGAGCAACTTGTTTGACTGTTCTTCCTCAGTTTGCTTTCCTCAGCAGGAGAGAAATGGTGCTTTTGTGTCTGGGGGTAGAGGAGACAGTAAGACTCACTTAGTGCTCCTAAGGACCATTTCCTTCAACTGGGCAGAAGGCAGATGTTGCCGTTGGTGTTTCATGATATTCACTTGAGTGCAAGTGCTGTAGAAAAGCCCACCTGTAAACAGAGCGCTGCATTCTTGGTCTTCGTCTCATAGGTGAAACTTCTCCAGTGTCTCTGTCAGATATGTCCAGTGATTACTGTGCACTCCTCGGAGAGGTTTGCATGCTGGGTTTTTAAAGTCAACAGTGCTGCGTGATGATGCACAACAGAAAACAGGATTTACCAAAAACCCTTGACGTGTAAACAAAAGCTTTTTTTTTTTTCAATGCACATGTGTATTTTGAACTGATATTATGGAAAAAAATAGTTTGTTGTCCCACCAGATTCCCTTATTGAACAATATTGGCATTAAATAAAAGAGCTGAATCATAGGGTGACTTCTTTATTTCTTCTTACTGGCTCTGGTTGTATGTGATCATGTGTCAACAGAGCATTCATTGGGTTAGTCATTTCTGGACCAGTGTAGGGTCACTTGGGATTCACAGGGCTAGGATTATACCCTCTCTTCACAGCAATGCCAATTGTAGGCCTTATACAGATGAGAGCACTGAGTGAGAAATAAAGTGCATGGTGGATGAAAGGCTTAACTGAATCGCTTTCAGCCCATTGTTAGTCCAGGGGAGCTTAGCGGGGATGAGAGGGCAGCAGCCCGCTTTGAAATTTGCTTGAACAAGTGAATAGGAGCTCCCCATAAAGCAGCGCGTGAAAGGAGCCTGCCTGTTTTTTCCTGCC